AAAATTTGGAACAAGAGAGAGATGTCCCCTCTAACCACTTCTCTTCAACATTGTCCCAAAAGTTCTAGCTAATGCAACAAGAGAAGAAAAGGAAATAAAAGCTATACAGATTAGTAAGGAAGAAATAAAAGTGTCTTTGTTCACAGATTATGTGATTGTCTATGTAGAAAATTTGAAAGAATTGAACCTCAAGAGAGGTTTGGGGCAGGGTTTCCTGTCTTTTGATTTTAAAAGAATAAACAGGGGAATAACAATTTAAGAAGGAAGAAAGCCAATTAAGAGACTAAGGTTTCTAACTAGAATGACTAAATGCTTAAAACATTTCCCCAGACCAAAACAATTCTTCCAGGCTGGGCAGAGAGGTCAGTAATTTCCTTGGGGGAATTAACAGAGAAGGTTTGCATGGAGCACCTGGTAGGCTGGATCCCAGGCCCAGCCACTTGTTCTTTGTCAAATATTCCTATCCCTTTGAACAACAGGGAGGCCACAGGGTGGTGGATCTAAAACAGTCATGTAAACTAAAGACAGATGACTGCCGTGGGGTGGGATGCAATACCTTGACCCTGTATTAGATCACCAGGTAGGAAGAACCCCAGAATATTTGAGATAAATTTCCTGTAGTCTAATGGGGCTGGGGTTTAGAGTCACATTTCATTCACAGAAGACAAAGAAATGTAATATTTCATGTAGAATATACTGATTCTAAGAAAACCAACCAACCTCCCTCCCCGCCCCTCCGCCATACACACATACACACACAAATAAAATCACTATTCCCAGAATGCAATTCTGTGGACCAGTAAGGACAATTTGTGTGCTAGTTACCTTATTTTGTTGTCTTCTCACTATAAGTTTCCATGATTATTTTATTCCTCTCCTTCTCTCTTCTCTTTGCCTAACTTTTTTTTACAAAGTTTTTTTACAGTTAATAAAGCAGCAGTACTCATATTTTTTAACCTTTGCTGCCACCCTGTGGCTATCTTTCATTACTGTACATGAAAAGAGGGCATCTAAGAACTTCTGCTAAGGTATCAGATTAGGGACAAGCATAAGGGAAGCACATTAAAAAAAAAAAAAAAAAATTGGCAGAACATCCGAGATGGTCTTTCACTATAATGCTCAGAATCTGAGGCATGAATCTAGTATATGCTGTATGTGTCTCTTATGTATCAGTATTTGTCCTTTAAAATCCTTTTAGTTTCTGTCTAACCTTATCTTAGTAGTCCCCCATTCCTCCTCTTAGTTCAAACTAAGATGCATAATTAATCACATTAATTGTTGACCCTAACTTGCCATTAGTGTCAATTATGGCTTTTAATGGACTCGAAAAAACACTGCATAGGAAGCTGAACCTATTTATAGTAGGCCCATATATTAAAATTTCTTTGTAGACTTTCATTTTGGTCTAGAACTTGTTATATTAATGCGAAGCATTCTGGCTTTCTCTAAGTGTTAAAAATGAAAGAATCAGTTTTAAGAAGTAGAATATATTCACAGCCCATTTTCCACACACATTTTTCCTGAGAAATAAGGGCTACTGTAATTGTCTCCTTACCACCTGTCCCTACCACTGTAGCCCCTTTCTGCTTCTTGTTACCATCTTAAATCAAATATGATCATGCCACTATCCTGTTTTTAAAAGATTCCATTGGCTTCCTATTACTTATAGGATAAAACATAGACTTCTTTGAACACCCTTGATAAATCAGTCTCAACTGATCTGTCAAGCCTCATTTTTAATCGCTCCCATAAACACTGCGTTTTCTTTTCTTTTTTTTTTTGCGGTACGCAGGCCTCTCACTGTTGTGGCCTCTCCCATTGCCGAGCACAGGCTTCGGACGCGCAGGCTCAGCGGCCATGGCTCACGGGCCCAGCCGCTCCACGGCATGTGGGATCTTCCCGGACCGGGGCATGAACCTGTGTCCCCTGCATCGGCAGGCAGACTCTCAACCACTGCGCCACAAGGGAAGCCCTTACTAGTTTTAAATTAGAAACTAATCAGAATACACAAAGTGAAAAACATAATAAACACTTTTTAAACTATTGTTATCCATAAAATTATAATTCATTAATTTTTTTAGCTGAACTTGGTAATTAAGGTAATTTCATTCATTTCTAAAAATGACCTGCAAAATAAAGTACATCGGTAAGAGTGTCAACTTCTGGAAATTAAAATCTTGTATCTTTAATGTTATACCAAAAAGGACTCAAGCTCATTGTCCAGTGAAAATAATGACTCATTTATTCCCCTGCTAAAGTTCTTTCTCTGCCACACTGCATTTTTTTTAAGGATACATGAAGGACATCTTTTAATACAGTTCACAAGCATAGAGCCATTGTAGAGGGATTAAAGAAAACAGAAAAACAAAAAAACTGGAATTCAAATCCAGGCTTTACTATTTTTTTTAAATTGTTTCTTCTGAGTTTTAAGGTAAATTAAGCAAATTTACTCATTGAACATTTCAAGTGAAAATCAATTTTTTTTTTTTTTTTTTTGCCTAAGGGATTATATAAACTTTCCATTGATTTTGCTGTGATTCTCTCCTTCCTTGATCCATCTGGGTAAAAATTGCCATTTATGTGTAAAGGATTAAGAATTTTATCTAATGGAAGAAGAGTTTCTGAATGTTCTAATTCAGAGCCAGTTCATTCATTTTATCTGCTCTGTAGTATTACAGGGCACAATACTACATTTTATTTAGCCATTTTAATACTCAAACTGTGGTTTCTAGTTTTTCTTAGTAACAGTACTGTAATGAACATTCTTGTGTAGTCTCCTTATTTACATATGGAATATTTCTTTATGGCAGATGCTCAGAAGTGGAATTGTTACCAGTGTATGCATATTTTAGAATACTAACAAATTGCCCTTCGATGTATATAATCCCTTTCTGCAACCTTGCCAAATTAAAAAAAAAAGTATTTATTTATTTATTCTTTATTTTGGCTGTGCTGAGTCTTATTTGCGACACACGGGATCTTCGTTGCGGCATATGGACTCTTAGTTGTGGCATGCAGCCTTCTTAGCTGCAGTATTCGGACTTCTTAGTTGGGGCATGCGGACTCTTAGTTGCAGCATGTGGGATCTATTTCCCCAACCAGGGATCGAACCTGGGCCCCCTGCATTGGGAGCGTGGAGTCTTACCCACCAGGTCACCAGGGAAGTCCCAACCTTGCCAAATTTAATATTACCAAGCTTTAAAATTTTTCCTGATGTGATGTGTATAATGTTTTAATTTGCATGTTTCTGATTACTAATGAGGCTAGGTAACTCCTGTGTTTACCAACCACTTATATTTCCTTTAGTTGTGAACTGCTGTTTCATGTCCTTTGTCCATTTTTCTATTGATTTGTCTTATTCATGATGATTTATAGCCTTTAAAAGATATAGTGTAGACAGTAATACTTTTTTTGTTGAGGTATAGTTGATTTACAATGTTGTAAAAAGCAAAGTGATTCAGTTATATATATGTACATTCTTTTTTAGTATTCTTTTCCATTATGGTTTATCATATATTGAATATAGTTCCGTGTGCTATACAGTAGGACCTTGTTGGTTATTCATTCTATATATAATAGCTTACATCTGCTAACCCCAAACTCCCACTCCATCCCTTCCCCGACCCCCTCCCCCTAAACAAGTCTGTTCTCTGTTAGACACTAATACTTTATTGTTTATTTGAATTAAAAATATCTTCTCCCAGTCTGTCTTTTGTTCATCTAAAAAAATTTTTTTTGACCCTTGTTTGTAAGTGATGGTTTATCTGGGTATATATTTTTAGATTTGAAGTTATTTTCTCTCAATATTTTGAGTATATTATTTCGCTATCTTCTGGCTTCAATTATTGCTTTTGAGTGGTCTGTTCATTCTAATATATGTTCTCTGTCTTTGTTTTCGAAATTTTCACTCTGATATGCCTAGCACTGGATTTTTTATTTTTGTGTTTTTATTATGGTGAAATATATAGAATAGAAAAGTTGCCATTTCAACCATCATTTAAAAGCACAGTTCAGTGGCTTTAATCATATATGCAATGTTGTATAACCATCACCACTATTTATCTCCAAAACTTTTCTGTTACTCTTAAGAGCAGCTTTGTACCTGCTAAACAATAGTTCCCCAATCTTCCACCTGCCCCCAGTCTCTGGTCTCCTCTAATCTACTTTCTGTTTCTATGAATTTTTCTATTCTAGATATTTCATGTAAGTGGAATCATACAATATTTGTCCTTTTGTTTCTGGCTTATTTCACTTAGCATAATGTTTTCAAATTTCATCCATGTTGTAGAAATGTCAGAACTTTATCTTTTTTCATAGCTGAATAATTTTCCACTGTAGGTATATACCACATTTTAGTTATCCATTCACCTGTTGATGGACATTTGATTACCACCTTATTGTGACTAATGCTGCAATGAACAATGGTGTACCAGCAACTGGTTGAGTTCCCTTTTCCAATTATTTGGAGGTGTGTCCTTAGGACCAGAATTGTTGAATCATATGATAATTTTATGTTTAACTTTTTGAGGTACCACCAAACTTTTTCACAGTGGCTGCACCATTTTACATTCCCACCAGCTGTGGGAACAAGGGTTACAATTTTCTACATCCTAGGCAACACTCGTTAATTTTTAAAACAATTATGGCCATTTTTTAGGTATGAAGTGGTATCTCATTATGGGTTTGATTTGTGTTTCCCTAATGACTAATAGCATTGAGCATCTTTCATGTACTTATATGCCATTTGTATAACTTCTTTGGAGAAATATCTATTCAAGTGCTTTGACATGTTTTAACAAGTCTTCTAGGTAATTCTGATGCACACTAAACTTTGAAAACCAAATGACTAGAAACTAATGAACTACTACCACAAATAACCTAATAAGATAATTGGAACTGACTGGAGTAAAGGTGTTAGGTTTTTATTGTAAGACTATTTGATGGATCAGGGTGAACGTGTGCTGTTCAATTTTAAAGAACTTGTTTCTTGTCTTCTTAAGTAGACAAAGGCTGAGAAGAAATGGATAAACATTTGGGGAAAGGATGAGGAGAAATCAAATACAAGGAGGAAAAAGGGAAGCAAGAGCAAGAAAATACTTTTCACAAAACAAGATACGAAGAGTATTTGGGATTTAAGACCAAATGAAGATTATGAGGTAAGATATCTTTAATTGTACTTTATAGAGTAAGTATTCTTTCTCCTTGTATAGATTGGCAGGTGCTGAATTCAATATTTCTTCTTAGACTTAAGCTTCTTATTCACTGGATTTTAGTTTACTTTTCAGAATAGTAAATATGTTCAAACAGTTCAGTAGTCAAATAATTTTAAATGGTATTCTCTAAGTGGTCTCCTTCCCATCCTTGAAAACTTCCACTTACTTTATACTGTTTCTGTAGGAAGATAAATACTTTTTTAGTAGCTTTTTTTTTTTTTCTGGTGGGTATCATTCTAGTCTTAGTTTATTTAAGTGCAAAAAAAAAAAAAAAAGGACATGTTATTTCCTCTCCCACCCTTTTATTATAATATGAGTCCATAATATGTACCCTGTTCTTAGCTCTACTGTTTTCTCCTAACAGTATAATCCTGGGGATATTTCTTTAATGATACATAGAGTGCTTCCTCATTCTGCTTCCAGCCACATATTTTGCCATCATTTAGATGTTTCCTAACATATTCTGAATTCTTGTGACCTCTTTCATACAGTAAACTGTCATACTCTAATCTTCCAGGATTAACTTTTGATTTATCAGTGGGGTTTAAATAAACATAAAAGTCATTTATTCTTGCAAGGTGGATCAAGTATTCTATTTCTTTCTCTTTGAATTCCTGCCATAACCACCCAATTTCCCTGAGGCACAGGGTTGCCCTGAGGCACAGGGTTGCCTCTGACCAAGTCACTCAAGGTGGGGAAGGATGAGTTTGGTGATGAGGCAAATGTGAGAAAATGCAAGCATATAGGGCTTCCCTGGTGGTGCAGTGGTTGAGAGACCGCCTGCTGATGCAGGGGACACGGGTTCGTGCCCCGGTCCGGGAAGATCTATTTTTTTTTTTTTTTTTTTTGCGGTACGCGGGCCTCTCACTGTTGTGGCCTCTCTCGTTGCGGAGCACAGGCTCCAGACGCGCAGGCTCAGCGGCCATGGCTCACGGGCGCAGCCGCTCCGCAGCATGTGGGATCTTCCCGGACCGGGGCACGAACCCGTGTCCCCTGCATCGGCAGGCGGACTCTCAACCACTGCTCCACCAGGGAAGACCGGACCTTATTATTTTTAAAAATAAAATATAAAACTCTATATAAACTGACCCCTGAACATCTCTATCTCACTTACTGTCATGTCTCCACATCCTTTTACAGAAAGAGTAAATCTCAATTCACAAAATTCGATGTAGTCAAGATATGTCACTCTTTAAAATTCTACCTATATCAGTAGGCTGGTGGCAAATCCATTTTCAATTATAATTAGACCTTTCCCCAGGGTAAAGAACACAATGTGAAAATTCATGGCTCAAGAGGATGCACGGGTCCAGGTTTTCCTGGTCACAAAAATAGTGTCCAAAATCTTACAATACAAATGAAAGAAAAATGAAGCAAATTATAAATGAATTCATAGAGAGTGCTTGATAATTGCAAGAATATCAGACCTTGGATGTGGTACGTCAAAACTTGAGAAGGTCACTGTGCCTGGAGTCCATCTTGGTAATAAATAGTTTGCAGTTCTTATCATGTAGTATTATAATAAGCCAAATATGTATCCTTTTCGTTTACTCTGCAGTATAATTTCTCTAAGGAAGGAATCCCATTTTATTGAATTCTGTATCATAGCATGGAATATAGTGCCTGACACACAGGAAGTAATCAGGAAGTGTTTCTGGAATGAATCTTTTTGGTCCAAGGAGACACAATGATTGATTTGCAACAAGTGTACTCTTCAAGTACATTTGCAGTCATGATTTGCAATGAACAAAGAAAAAAGGACTAGAACTAACAGGTAAAATTTATTTTAATCCTGTTAATTTATTTTCTTTTGTCATACTCCTAATTTTTAAAATATTTCATGCCCTGGATGGATGCTTAATTGATACTAATTATAACATTTATTCAGCTCTGAAATATGTTTTTTTCTTGGCTTTCTTGTCTGAAGTGGGCTGGAGAGACAGCATGGTTTGAGGTTATGAGTGTGGACTTGGAAACCAGACTTCTTGGTATTGAATTCTGGTTCAGCCCTTTACTAGCTGAGTAGCTTAGGGCAAGTTACACCTCTCTGTGCCTCACTCTCCTCATTTGTTATAAGAATACCTATTTCATAGAGTTGATATATTAATACCTCTGAGGTGCTTAGAGTAGAATCTAGCACAAAGGTGATAACATTTATCTTTCAATTTTGCCTAGCCTGGAGACAGAGCTAAGGGTGCTTGAACTTCAAGTCCTTTAGAGTTCTTAGTTTATAGCATCCAGGCTTCTGTCAGACTCAACCAGATGAAGACTAGGACTCTAGGACTTTTCAGGGACCTTCTCTTCAAACTCCAGAAGCTTCTGCCCCTCCATCCATATAATGGATGATTTTAATACTTAATGCCTCTGAATACCTTCTTGAGTTTGTATCCATCCTTTGGTTCTGGCTCAAAGTTGCAGAAAAAAGATGTAACAGTCCTATTTGGGCTTTGAATCCTATATATTCTTTCTTCTAGGAAAACTCACTTCTACTTGAATCACCTCTTCAGCATTTTCAATCTGTCATCCTTTCTTGAATCTGAAACCCAAGGTTAACTGACTGATCACTTGTATTGGTCAATGGCAGATTTGGTTCTGAGGTCACGTAACTTCCAATTCAAATCAAGTCCCAATTAATTATGCTGCCTCCCAATGTTGGACATATTCAACTTTCTATTTCATATTTCCCTTTAATGTAGAAAGTCTTTCTTTGTCAAGTCAGCCTTTTATTCTCTCATAAATCCACTCTTCAGCTTTTTATTAGGGTAATCCTATAACCAAACTCACTTTACATGCTCCTAGTACATAATCCAATACTTTCTTCTTTTCCCTGCAACCTCTAAATGAAGCCTACTGTGACCACCACCTCTGTAATGTTTTTCATTTTTTGAAATCCTTTAGCCCTTGATTGCTGTGAATTTTTATCTCAGGAGTCTATTGGGAATCACATGGAAGTGTAATAAGTGTTTATTGAATAAATGAGTAAACAGTAATATGGGCTGGCCAGAGAAAAAGGTTTATTCAACAAGCCTTCAGAGATATAAAAACTCTTTTCTTCCATGGAGATCTGAGTCTGTGGAACAGGGACTCCAGCAAAGCAGTTTTCATTGATGTGGTCTTTAAGCATTTCCAGTGTCTGTGATAGTGGAAAGAATAGAAAATTAAGATGGACTTGGGTTTCCAGAACAGTGAATATTCCTTCCTTTAGATCTGGGTAGCATGGTTCCTGAGGAAATCCAATTAGTATAGTGGGAAATGAGATCCGTTACTTAAAATTATCTAATATGCAATTCTGTGAACTGTCTGAGGTATGACTATCAGGGGCCCTTTCCCAATAAATGTATTTTTCTATAATAAGTTGCACTGTGAACAGTATGATGTCTATGAGAAATATTGAGCTAGAATTTTATGGAGGAGATTTGAGGGACAAGCCAAAGGGGTTCTGACTCCATCTGGAAGGAGTATGAATTGCTTACCTTTGCTGCAAGGAGCACTGTACTCAGCAACGGCAAACTCATCTGAATAAAAACAAAAATAGGAGAAGTGAGAGGGAAAGTGAACATCTATGTTACAGGTCAGTGAAAGAATCTTTATTGTGGGAAGAATTGCAACAGAAACCTCAGCAGAATTCATTTGATGTGCTGCTTTCTGTCTTATATTTTCAAATACTTTATGTTATGCTTTCCTTTACCCTAAACTCCTGAAGGGTAAGAGTACAGATTACACTTATTTAAATTTCATATTGTCCTACAGTTGATTTTATCTGAAGAAAAGGGAACTAAATATCTTACAGGTGCTTTGTATTAGTAATAATATATTTATATCAGACTTGATAGAGACAAAATGAAGTGATGAGAGTGATTAGTGCAATGAATTGCCCCAACACATCTCTCAAATCTAAATTTCTGTGATCAGGTATTTAATTTCTGTGTGAACTTTGCTTTCACTCACCTGTCTCATAATAATCATAGACTTTCACTATGGCTGGTTTCAGATCCCTTACTGGAATGTCTTGAAGAACCGTGAAGGACAAGCTCAGGGTCTGATTTGTCACCTATAAAGCAAAAGGGAATTAAATGACTCTCCAGGGAGCTTTCCTCTCTCTTCTTTGAGTGAATTTAAGTATTCATCTATTTTGGGGAAAAACTTTTTATCAACTAACAGGGTACTTAACTTGGGCCAAAAGCTCTCAGAGTAGGTGAAAACTTCCCCAAATTGTTTCTTAAATAACTAAAACTATTCATATACTCCCGTCAATGTGAGTGCATACCTCTGTTCATAGGGGTGAATGGTGCAGGCTTTTTATTGTTTGAATAGCTGTGTTTATTTTTAAGTATCAGAGATTCAGTACAGCTTCACTACTCTATCTTGTAGAAATACTTGTGTCGACTCAAAACGGAATATAAAAGGTGGATCACTGCAGCCTATGTTTCATAAAATTCGTAAACTATAATATCCGTCAATGTAGGAATGAATAAACTATGCAACAACATACAACTGTAAAATCAGATTGGTTTATTGGTGCACTGGTCTTGTTGTTTTATGGTCTAAGTCCTTGCTGAGATTGATAGCATATCGCCCTTTTGTCTTTTTGATGTGCTGTTGATACAATAGTTGACTAATAATGGTTACTTCCTTATATGTGTCTTCAAAATAACTTGTGCACATAATGAGCACCTTTTGTGGAGAATTTCTTGCTTATGGGGTCCTAGAAATATTCATATCCCAATATTATAACAAGTCATTTCTTCCCATAGTCCCAGATGAAATATAAATAGAGAAGGAGAGGAGAATATTCACTGGACCTAGTGTTAGAATTCTCAAATTTTTAGCATGGAGGTGATGTCTCCAAAATGCCTTCATTCACTTCCCAGGTAGCTCATTATCCATATTTTTTTTGGATAGGATGGCAGGGCTCTCACCTTATCCAGGTAAATCAAAACATGGTTGTTGCTGACTTCTGTTCGGCTCACGTGGTTAGATGTTTCAAGCTGAAGAAAATTAAGACATCACAAATGTTAATAAACAGAAGAAAACCCTGGGGAACCAGAGAAAAGAAGAATGTTTATTACCAAATTAAGCCTGAGGGTAAAATTTCTTCAAATGCTTTTTGTAAGCAAAGGCAATAATGTGGCAGAATTAAAAATGAAAGATAATTGGGATGCACGGTTTAACTTTAATACGACACAGGACCTATGTGTAAATTGATTTATTTGAAGAAAAGGGAACTAAATGTCCTAAACTTGGAAATTACCTATATTTCAAGGTTCTGTTCACATTCCATTCCTTCATGAAGGAGGTTTTTGTTTTTTTACTTTTTTTGCTTATTATAACTTGTAGCAATCTCAGTTTCCTCTGTACTTCTGTAATAGTTCTAGTTTATGTCAATCAATCTTTCTCATATTTTTTTCACTAGTTCATGTGTGTATGCTTTATCTTCTGAAGATTCTAAGCTCCATTAAAGCAGTAGCCTGCTGACAATTTTTTCCTAGTAGATGTGGCTCCTAGCAAAGTGCTGTTCATGACAAGAGATAGACCGTTGCTGTGGGTGTCCCTAAAGCGGTGGACAGGAAGGCTGCTGGAGCTGGCAAGGTCACCAGGTCTGCCCAGATAGTTCAGAAGGCTAAATGAGTATGATCCCTAATACCTGCCACCCCAGTTTGATCAATGGTGGAAGCCCAGTCTCAAAACCGTCTGAGTTGACCATTGAACTTAGTAGTGAAAGACTGGTTAATGATAACAATGTATCGTAAAACTAGAAGAAAAGGAGAATGTTTTATGGATCATTTCTTTTTCTGTGGGCGGCAGTTTTGAGTTATTAGTTTTTAAAATTAGTATTTTTATTAATACCTTAATGGAAACTTGACCAAAAATCCATCATAAAATTTTGAGACCCATTTAAACAAAGTTAAATGAGAAAACAAACAAACAAACCCCCATATAAATGTGCTAAATTATATTTCTCCTTTTGCAGACAGTAATGTCTTTGATAGAAGTTAATTTAATAGTATTTTTATATTAATGTTTTCTTAGTCTAGAGATACATAAAATATTAAATAAAATAGGGTCTCCTAGGCTTATAGTAAACCTACCATTTTCACTGTTGGTTTCAAGGGAATGAAGCCAGATACCATTTTCACGTCAGCAATCACCATGTTGGAGGCTGGACGTCTTCCAGTGTAACTAAAGATCCAGGGAAGAAAGGAATTAGGATTTTCTGTGTTATTAAATATTTTTTTCTATGTCCACAGTAAGCACTCAACAGCCCTGAAAAGTACCAGAAGTCTTCCTAAATTTCCTACCAAGTAGCTCAAAAAACTGTCTGTGCATTAGAATCTTCAGGGGAGCCTGTTAAAGCCACAGAGACCAGGCCTATACTCTAGACCTGATGAATCAGAATTTCATGGGTGTGAACTCTGAGGATCTGCATTTTAAGGAAGCTCTGTAAGTGATGCTTAGCTGGGCATGAGACTGCTAGTCTGTCGCAGTTATTTGTTACATATACTTTGTCTTTTTTCCTGAATAGTATCCCCAACCAGGTTATAATATTCTTGAGGACAGACACAAATAGCCCTGTAGGTATTTGAATATGGCTGCTTATGTATGTATTTTCCCCAAAATTGATTATTTTATATATAATCTGAGATTTAATTATTACCAGTAGGAATTCTAACTAGAGAGTCACTACTTCCTTCTATTCGCGCTTTTCAAGAAGTCTCCACTTCTGTCCCAGATAAAGCAAGAATAATATAGGATTTCATTACAATAGAATGAAAT